AAACACACGAGAGAACATTCTTGAGATGGTTCAGAGAAGTCCGCGTCTGTCCTCTCGTAGAATGGCCTGTCGCATCGGCGTATCACGTATGCAGGTGTGGAGAACTTTACATGATGAAGAGTTGTATCCTGACCATGATCAAAGGGTACAACATCGGGAACCAGGTGACCATGCACAGCGTATGAATTTGTACCACTGGATAAAAGCTCATCCCGAACTGTTAAGCGTCATTTTATTCAGTGATGAGGCGTCTTTTATCCTGGACGGTGTAAATAATTTACGAAATGTGCATACGTGGTCCCATAATAATCCACATGAGATAATGGAAACGAAATTTCAAAAGGGATTTTCCGTGAATGTACGTTTAATACAGTTCTGTGGTCGGCTTATAGCGCAGTCAGCCATGTTAGGTCAGCGCTTGCCAGTCATGTGTCATGTGTCATGTGTCATGTATAGTGCTTCGAAACCCTAAGGACAATTATGACATGGCGAGCGAGTATTTTGTACTTCAATTTTATGGCTTCATGTCACTCACAAGTTAGTTTGATGTTACTTATATTATTAACATTACAGAATCCACATATTCCTGCCAGTTTTAATGTGTATTTTGTAATCAACAAGTGTGTAACACCGGTCAAAGTTTGACACTTCTCTGGCCCTTATATCCATAACCGTTCAACTTTGGACATAGGTGTTTTGGGTTATATCGGCATACTTTAACATAAGGAACACCCTCCCGAAGTTTGGTCAATTCCTCCTGGGACATTCTGTATAAGGACCTATACAGTATATAAGCATCCTTTATATTGACTGTGTGTGTGTCATCAGGTGAATGAAAGTGTTGATCTCAATAAATGGTCACGGTGTTTAAGTGCAAAGTAGCACTGAACCAAGTGCTTCTCTCCCCATCCTAAGCGAGGCCCTATCAAACACCCTGAAAAGGATCCCAGCTTTACCCACAGCTGTACTAGTTAACTATCACCTTTACGCCCTTTCCAAAATAAACCTACGACTACTGTAAGCCGACACCACCTGAGCTTACTGGCGCCCAACCTAAGAAGAAGAAGAAAGAAGGAGAGGAGCGACGAACAACTTGTGACTAACCGACCAACAAAGGGGCAGTGAAGGTGAGCGAAGTGCGGTTAGAGAGGAAAGTGTCGCTCAAACAAGTAGGGCAGAGCGAACGGTTACAATACCTAAGATAGCGTCCACATTCACGGCAGAAGCACTAGCAATTGGGCAAACAATACAAACCATCGAAGAAATAGACTCGGAGCAAAACTTCATTATTTTCTCTGAATCCGCAAGCGTGTTAAAAGGTATTAGTAACTCTTCTAAAATGAACAAAACATTCCACATTACTCAGATGCTTAAATATAAAATAGGGAAACTGGAATCGCGAGGAAAATCCAATTGTACTGGATCCATAGTACTGTGGAGTTGAAGATAATGAAAGGGCCGACTCGGAGGCAAAGCAAAATCAGAGTTTGAAGGGATAGTCAACTATTATTACCAGTGGCAGATCTTAAAGCCCAGTGGAAAGAGAATGACAAAGAGGAGGTTCACAATTTCTATCAAGGCACCAAAAGAGACAGAGGAGAAAGCTACATACATTGAAAGGTACTAAGGGAACTACTTGTCTCCGTGGTTCCTCCAGGTAAAAATGAACCGTCGTGCCTTCGTGCCAGTAAACCGTATAATAGCAGGCCACTCCAGTCTTAAAGCAACCTTAAGTAGATTTAACATTGCGTCCACAGCTGAGTACGAATATGGTGACGGGCTGCAAACGGAGGAACATATCTTCTGGAATTGTAAACTCTAAGAGGACCAAAGGAAAACAATGATTGACGTTCTGTCTCAGTACAGCAAAAAAGAATACTCAAAGCCAGTTACAGAGCTCTGAAGGACAAGGGAAAAAAGTTTTGTGCAAAGCGGCTCTTACGTCATAAAACTCATTCCTAAATTTATTAAACTAAAGGAGAAGAATTATGTAAAATGTGGCCGAAATAAGTGAGTGGAGAGAATTGTCATTAATATTTACTCACTCACGGAGCTGAGCCCTTCTTGAGGAGCCGCCAATTGTGCAGCTACTCAAGATGTTCCCAGTATTTTATGGAACACGAAGGTTCATTACTGTGTTCACAAGAATCCTCCACTGGTCCATATCCTGAGCCAGATCAATCCAATCCGTGTCATCCCATCCTATCTCTCTAAGAACCATTTAATATTGTCCACTCACCTACGTCTTGGTCTTCCCAGTGGTCTCTTTCCATCTGGCTTTCCCCACCAATATCCTGTATACATTCCTCTCTCCCCTTTTTTGCTACATGCCCTGCCCACCTCATATTCTTTGACTTTATCTTTCTAACTATTCTTGGAGAAGAGTACAAGTTATGAAGCTCCTCATTATGCAGTTGAAAAGGAAATATATGCACAAAGTGTTAACAGAATATTCTTAGAGTTAAGCTAAGGGAGATTTTAAGGAATCACAGGTTGACCGCTACGATAGAAGATGTTTATAAGAATCTGCTACAGAGGGCCGGGTGGGTATTGCCTATGACATTTTTGTGTATACATTTACTTTTTAACTTTGAACACTTTATTATATGAGAGTGCAAATGCAATTAAACCTTTAGTAAGAGAAACTGTAACAACTTCCCGTAAGTAACAGAATATGTAATAATTTGTAATTATTGGTACCTTTGCTGCTACGTAACCGAAGTTCTATTGTTGACCTCGTTACCATGGGAATGTGCACAGCGAAGCACGTAGAATCTGTATATATTGCGAGTGAAATATTGTATGTACGAGTAGGTGCGCGAATAATCTTGCAGAAATATTTTTTTTTTTTTAATGGGCATTGCCCATACTGCTCTCTGTAGCACACTCTTATAAACATCTCATTCCATCATAGCTTCTTAGACTTCTACAATTCCATTGAAGAATCGTAATTGGTTGATTCCCGTTCAATTTTGCTGTAAAGTTGCTCGTGAAGTTCGACGGCTTTCTACAGTGGTCTTACCAATGTTTTAGCGTCCCCTGAGTTTATCACTAAGTTGACCATCGTCAGCAGTACGTTCCTGAATTCGTCTTACTTCTGAGTGAACTCCAACTCGTCTGTATATTTCTCTAACACTGTCTAGTCTATTCAACTGTTCATTTTCTCTACATTGTTCGGACTTCGTTTTGATATTTCAGTCCAGCTGTTACTCGTAGTAATCTTCCATTGCCTTCTCCCCGGGTTTTATTCGATCGGTTGGCTCGGGGGTTTAATGCTTTCACTTGTCTCTATGTTATCCCACTCCTTTCGTCTTCTTGGCTTTTTAAGAGGAGGGAAGTTCCACATATTAGTTTCAACACACCCTCGGAAGCTTTCAGTATCTGAAGAGAACGCAGGATTCGACCGCTGGGGTTGTGACCATTTTTAACTATTTTCCGTCCTTCCAAAAATCCGACATTTCTGTGAGTCATGATTTGGTTTTTTTCTTTTGTTTTTAATTATTGGGCATTGCTTGCTTTTTGCTCTATGATTACCGTTACAATTCAGGCATTTTTAAAATATAAGATCCTTCGTATTTTGCTTCTCCGCATGATAAGAATTGTTGTTCCTTCTTACAAAAGTAGAAACATCAGTGTTCGTATTGCAAAAATATATAAGGGGACAATTCCTTAGTTCTAAATGTCACACACACTACCCTCGACTCTTTCCATGCACATCTTTCTTCATTGGTTTCTTCGTTTGTTTCTTTGACTTTCATCTTAAGTCTGACTGCGTCAACGATCTGGAAAGGTACGGGATATTCTTTATGATTATCCGGGTTAAGATGTTCCATCAAATTTTCTAACATATATCTTCGGTTACATCTTTAACGACTCCCTTTTTAATAACCATATGTATCGTAATATAGGCCGTTAGCCCTTCATTTTGGATGATAGGGCTGTCCGAAACATTATTTGCTTCAATTCTCTCTGAGGTCACTTCCCAAATAAACGGGGCATATTGTCTAATGAATTGGAAACCGATCTTGGATTTAGCCATAACATTGAATATATCAAATTGGCCCCACTCCTTTGTCATGTTTTCCTTCACTAATGGGGTATCAGGCCGGTTGACCATTAGGTGGAAGTTGAGTGGCTCTTTTTCATACATTTTTTTTCCTTTTTTGTTATTCTTGGAAGGTTCCCCAAGGCCTTCCCTTCCATTCTGGCTGGGCTCATCATACCAATTGTCGGACTTAACTTGTAACTTCTTTTTCCAGGCTTTGCGCTTCAGACTCTACCTAATAAATTAACCCTTGCTCTGTTCTCTCCTTGCCTTGTTTATGATTCTGTGACTTATTTCTATTTTGGGTTTTTATTACTAATCTGTTTTACGTCATCGTTTGTATATTTCTTCGGTTTCTTGCGATTTCTTACCTCAGTTCTTCATCTCATGACAGTTCAGGTCCTGTTTCTCCCACAATCTTCTTCTTTGATTTGATATTCTTATTAATTTTACTTTTCTTAGTTTTGTCTTCCATCACCACTTCTTCACCAACTACGTCATCGATGTATCATTTCTCCATTGTATTTACCTCCATTTCTTGGCAACTTGTTCTGCTTTCAGGCAGTCCACGCTCCGTAGCCTCCGAAGTACATGGACTCCCAGCTTGTAGTATTTTTGACCGATACTCGCGCACTTTAATTACTTGTCACCTTCATGTACTAAAATAAAAAAAAAAAGAGGAAAAAATAGAGATTAATTATATATTCGAACACCACACTAAGTTTTTTCAGTCTCGTTTCGCTAAATGCTTCCTGGTAACGAATTTTAACAATGAGGATTCTTCAGCACCTAACCACCCGTCTGTACGGTCTGTACTTTCCGTCGAATCGCGAAATATATTCTCCACTAAATTGCATTCGTGCGACATCTGTACCGATTTGTGCGCGATATACGATACCACAATGTATCGATTGTTCCCAGGGAATCGACGGAATCGACCACTCGACAGTTCGAATCGATATATATGCGTGAGAATCATATGTGATCATATGATCATACCTTTAGATTAAAGTGATATTGGAAAGTGAATGATATTAGTATGAAAATGTTGAAAATATTCGTATGCTTAGCAGCAGCAATTGTGGCAGGTGAGTGCTCACTCACTTTGCTTCGTGTGAAATATTGTTCATTTCTCTAAGGTGTAGAAATTTGGTACGTCGATATAGGTTACTTCAACTTCAGCTTTACTCTCAAAATATAAATAATTCCAACGTATTTAACCTCGATTTATATCTTTTGACCTGCTTATAAAATATTAATACTTATGGAATTTACATATCGTATTTCTGTGGATGGTTGTTTTGAGTGAAGTTTATAGTTATCTTCAGTTAATTCAAGGGGAGCGATTCTTATCAATGCTACTTACTTAAAGTAGGCCATTGCTATTTATTCGAAGTATTTTTTTTTCTCTGAATTTCATGCTTGAAAAAGTAAAACCATTTGTGTAACGGAAGTCTGCGCCCTTGGAAATTCAAACCTGTACCAGAAGCTGAAGTGACAAAGGTTATGAATTCATTTTCATAAATGAGATGTATGTGTAACCTTGTTATCTGTATATAGGGGCCCAAGCCTAATTTTTTCTACAGTATAAACAAATTTCAGTTTCTTTCTATCATGTATGGAACCATGAAGTTTGGTTTTAATCTCAGAGGCAAGTAGTGAAGGTTAAGGAGTTGTGTGATTGGAAGAAAATATATTGCTCATGGCTATAGATAGGTAGATGCATTTGAGCACTCCTGGTATTCTAGATGTGGAGCAAGTTGTACAGCACATAACATCCTAAGATTAGACCTTAATCCTCTACAGCAGATTTTTTGGTCATTGGAACAGTGAAGCAGACTCTTGTGCATTACTGATCACCTTGACTTGTCAAGTCTCCAGTGCTTTCTGCAGTAAAACTCACTCTTCTATGTCATTTCCAATATATACATGTCCCTGTACACATACATACAACACTCACTCATGGAGCTGAAACCTTCTTGAGAATCCACCAATTGTGCAGCAACTCAAGAACTTCCTACCATTTTATGGAACCCAAAAGTTCATTACCATGTTCACAAGAGTCCTCCGCTGGCCCCTAACCTGAGCCACATGAAGCCAATCCATACCATCCCATCCTGTCTCTCTAAGATTCATTTTAATATTGTCCACTATCCTATGCCTTGGTCTACCGAGAAGTCTCTTTCCACCTGGCTTTCCCACCAATATCCTATATGCATTCATCTTCTCCCCATTCATGCTACATGCCCTGCTCATCTCATCCTCCTTGGTCTGATCATCCTAAATATACTTGGAGAGAGTACAAGTTATAAAGTTCCTCATTATGTAGTTTTCTCCAACCTTCCATCACTTCATCTCTCTTCAGTCCAAATATTCTCCTCAACACCCTGTTCTCAAACACCCTCAGTCTATGTTCCTCCCTTAATGTCAGAGACCAAGTTTCAGAACCATACAGAACCACAGGAAAAATTATAATTTTTTATATTCTGATTTTTCTGTTTTTAGAAAGCAGATGAGAAGACAAAGGTTCTGGACTAATTGGTAGCAAGCATTACCTGAATTCAGTCTTCTCTTAATTTCCTCCTGAATCAGGTTTTGATTTGTTATCGCCATTCCCAAATATCTGAACTGTGCCACATTTTCAAAACATCTGTTAGCTGTCTTTATGTCATGATTTTGCCCTGCATTCTCGTGATGAGACAGCAGTATATACTTAGTTTTCTCTATGTTTACTTCCAGACCAACCACCTTACTAACATCAATTAAAGTTTGTATGTTTTTGTTTATGATATCTATATTATCACCTAGCAGATTCACATCATCAGCATAGACAACAGTTGATGTGTCCCATTTAATTTCACTCCCACCTGGTTTTCCTGGACCTTCCTATTAGCATATTCTAAAGCAAAGTTGAAAAGAAGGACAATAAAACATATCCTTGTTTTAGACCATTCTGAAGAGGGAAATTAAGGGGCAAATGTTTACTATGCGTTTCATTCAAACACATTTTAATCAGCCTAACTAGTTTCATGGGTACCCCAAACTCTTATCAGAATATTGTACAATACTTCCATCCTAACTGAATCAGAGGCTTTCTTGAAGTCTATGCGTAGCTGGTGTATTGTCTCATTGTACTCCAATTTCTTCTTCAGTATCTGACGAATGCAGAAGATCTGATCAGTAGTAGGTCTGTTACATCGAAACTCACACTGATGATCCCCAATAATTTCATCTATATGTGGTCTTAACATTGAGAGAAAAATATTGGATAAAATTTTATATGAAGTTGATAGCAGTGATATCCCCCGATAATTACAATGGTCAGTTTTATCACCCTTCTTGTGATCTGATACAATAATAGATTTCTTCCACTGATCAGGCATTTTTGTTTATTCCAAATAGAAGTAATTAGCTGATGGATCTTAGAACATAATTTTTCACCTCCTGCTTGAACAAGTTCTGCCGGAATTTGATCAGTACCTGCCGATGTATACCTTTTCAATTTTGCAATAGCAATTCCAACCTTAAAAGGCATAAGATCAAGTACTATTGGCTCAGTTTATGTATTTCTATCTGCCTAACATTACTGACCCTATATACATTCAATAACAGAGAAGTAGTCCTTACCCTTCTTCAAAATGGTGTGGGAGTCTGCAAGCAGATCACCATTCTCATCCTTCACTAAGTTACTTCTAGGTTGGTATCCCCTCTAGAAGTCATTTATTCCACTATACAGGTCTGTAATGTTCTTATTCTTACTGTTCATTGCAAGCTCATCAAGTTTGTCTTTCAGATATTCCCTCTTTTTATTCCTGAAATGCCTGCTGGTTTCACGTCCTATATTGTTCAGATTATCCCCATTTAACTCGCTTGGATCCTGTAACCATTGCAGTTTGGCTTGTTTCCTTTGGTCTAATAATTTTGAGCACCCGTCATTGAACTATGGCTTATGCTTCTTCGATTCGTAATAATCTAGACTCTCTTCGGCAGAAATTTTTATATTATCTCTAATAATTTCCCAAGCTGTTTTAATATCAACCGCAGTGTCTAATTTTTCCAAAGCTGTGAACCTATTTGAGATTTCAATGCGATACTGTTCTTTATCCTCTACCTCATTTAATTTCTTGAGACTGAATATGAACTCTGTATGTTGTTTGTTTACGCACTGTGATTCTCTACCTAACTTTTGCCACCATCAGATAGTGGCCGGTATCACAGTCTGCAGCTCTGAATGATCAGATATCAAGTGTACTTGAATGCTGTCTCCTGTCTTCCAAAATATTGTCAGTGTGGTTGTACATCTTCCCATCAAGAGATATCCAAGTAAATTTATGAATGTTACAGTGTGGGAAAATTGTACCTTTGGCAATAAGATTTTCGGATGTGGCAATGTTATACTCTAACTTCATTATCATTACTAATGTCGTGTTAACTCTCATTCCCAGTTGTTGGTTTCAAAATGTCTTCCCTACCTAATTTGGCATTGAAAGCTCCTAACAGAATTTTCATGTGATATGTAGGGAATTTATTAAATGCGTGTTCTAGTTCTTCATAGAACCTGCTCTTCACATCATCAGTCTTGTCTTCTGTTGGGGCGTGAACATTCAGAGAGATGATATCACACCAGCGACTTCTGAGTATTATGTATGACGTCATATCACTAACGAACTCTACCCTCGTAACTGGTGATACGATTCTCTTATGTATGAAAAAACCCATACCTATTACTTGATTTGCATTCCCTTTTCTACATAGAAATGTATATTCACCTGCTCGTTCAGTGCCACCTCCATCCCATCTAACATCTTTTCTCCAACTAAATCTAACTTATATTTTGAGATTTCTTCCACCACTGCCCTGGGTGAACCTGACCTATACATTCTTTTAATAACAAGTACCAAATGTCGTATCCATTTTCTTTTGCCTAGGTCGTTTATCCAAGGAATCTGTCCAAGTCTGAGGCTTCTTCTGATCTTTCATAACAAGCTTATTTTTTACGATGAGTTGTTAGCCCCATGGCCAACCTCCAACCTGGAGGACCACCCCTTGTCAGCTGGCCGCAACTGCTTATTCAATATATTCGCAGCTAGCCTCCATATCAGGTCGCGCCATAGCTCAAGCAGTTAGTCGCTGGCTTCCCACCGCAGCAGCCTGGGTTCAATCCTGAGGTCTGGTCAAATGGGATTTATGGTGGACAAAGTAGCGCTGGGGCGTTTTCTCCAAGCACTTTGGTTTTCCCTGCCAATTTTCATTCCACCAAATTCTCCATCATCATAATCACTTGAGGCAGGCTACAATAGGCCAATCAGTGGTCGCCGTGCCGAGTGAACCAAGTTGGACCCCACCCCCAACTAAGCGAATTTAAAAAAATATATATATATATAATTACCCTTCATGTCTGGAGGTCATCTCCTCCATCCACAACCCAAGGACGTGCCATGCCATGGTGACAAGTGACCCACCTTAACATGGACACATACAACACAAATAAGACAGTAATGCAGTAAACACCTCAGAGATTAATGTATGTAAATTCTTGCAGAGAATTGTAGGAGAATTTATAATCAGACTCCTGAGTACAGTCAATTATTAATTCTTTGAAAATATATAAGTTCTTCAGTAGAGTAGGAAATGTGAGTAAAAATAGAGTTTTTAATGCCAGTTTTTCTATTCATGGATAGGCCTGTGCCTCGTACTAACTATAAATCTGTGTTTGTTTGAAACATTCTCATGTTGTCAGTTATGAACTTCATTATAGCTTGTAAGAATGTAGTGGAAAATGTGTAATTTCTCAAAGAAGTCTCTCACCTCTGACCCTTTTTCTAAGCTCCCATCATGATTCTGGTAAATTTATTTACACAAAGAATGTTTATTATTCAGCTGAGGTGCCCCACAATATTATATTCAATGAGTATTTGGCAAAAAAATTTAGCAGCTGTGTATAATTGATTATTATTTATAAATAGAGTGACCTTATTGTTTTCATGGAAAATGAATGAGCAGCATGTGATCTGTATAAGTGCAAGGAATTATAAAAGGTAACTGTTTTCACATATAATGACCAAAGAAAAATTATTTGCTCAAAGCCCCTCCTGAAACATAAATATTTTGTTTTGTTGATGTGTTAATATTCAACCTTAGTCACATGTCAGTCTGGGCAAAACACAAAGGACTAACCTCAGACAGGGAAACTACAGATTTAACGCTATATTAATTTGACTTCAATCCAGCTTCAGACCACCTTGCAGGTTATATCACTGTCCACTTCTCTGACCTCAGTGACATTCACATTTTGTAACATTTAACTTTCACCTGCAGTTGTAATAGCTCAAGAAGGTTTAATAATTTACTCTCACAGTTTTGGCTTTCCCCCAGTCAGTCTTCTTTGGGATTTCAGTGTGAGATGCATTCTGTAGGACTCACCCATCAGCAGTGGGGGGGGGGGTTACTGTAGTCTATGAAGTGTGTTCCTCGTATAACATTACTTGATACAGGCACCAACATTGCTGTCTGTCAAGGATCAAGAGAATTATCTGCACTGGCTCTGGCCTTCTGCAATGCAGAACTGCCAGACACTCTTGAATGCTGTTTCCTTTCTGACCAACCTGAAAGTGACTATTATCCTGTAAATGTACATATCATACTGCACAGCCTAGAAAAATAAAAGATCAGGAGAGCTTCTTCCAGTCCAGTTTCTTTGACAGTTGTAACTCCATGTGTGAATGTTTTATGGGCACTGTTTCATGAAACACAGTCCCATACATCCCAGGTCACCACCAGACTCAGGGATGTACATATGACATGGTGGATAGATGCCATTTGTGCTCAGAAGTGAGCCTTTTAACATTTTTCCATGCTCATCCTACAAAAGAAAAATCTTAAACATCTTTCAATCATTGCATAGCATTACATACTCTGAGCTAATTGTTCATCATGCGAGGTGCATGTCTCCAGTTTAGCCACACCAACCAAATGTACAAACTGGTCAGCTATGTTGGTACAGTGTAAAAACAACAGAGAACCATACATCTCTCGGTCCCAAAACATTCAGCATTCTCAGGCCTGGGTCTGAAAGCTCCAGGAGTGTACAAGGTCTTAAGCTAATGCAGGCAAATCTACATCAGAGAGAGGCCTTGCAGTAGGAGAATGCGAAGAGTGCTAGAGAGACCTGTGACTCTATTGTCCATAATGTTTGGCAGTGGCTGAACATTCAGTTAGCAGATACAGTTTGGCAACATGATGGTATTAGCAGAGATTCCCCACTACACTAACTGAGTCATCTGTAAAGGAAGATACCAGGTTGGCAATGCAGAATCCACTTACCCCTTGCCAGGGCCACAAACACCTGCCTGCACCAACTCACTAATTTCACCCCCCACCACTGCCACCGCCACTTCTTTCTGTGAGACATCTTAACCCCTTTTTGTATCTTTCCCATTTACATCCCCACCAACATTCGACCCCTTGGAGCCATATTGCCACAGCCTATGCTGTTCATCCCCCACTAAATAACACAAGGGGTTCTTAAAACAGCTGCTTTCTGTGTAGCGATTCCACTGGCTTATACTGGGCTCTCACACCTTTCCCTGTTTGATCTGAGTGAACACCTGCGTATATAATCGGACTGCAGGTTCACCACACTCCAGCTCTGAAGATGGTGGCATTGTGTTACAGAACATTGCCAGTTCCAAAGTGGGATTAACACTAACACTGAATCACCGTGAAACAGTAAATCCTGGTTCATAGGCATACAGCTTGTGGACAGTATAGTCAGAGAGAGCACTTTCTCTTTTTTTTAATCTCTTATTTAACTCACCTTGTAAATAGGTGTAAATAGTCCCAGATGCTGATACAACTGTAAATACACCAACATTATTTCCAAGATGCTATTCACCACACCACCAACTTAACTAGACACTAATCCTTTGGTTTCAGCTGAATAGTGTTTGGGCATGACCCATCAGTTTCATGTTACAGTGTCTGGAGCTGGTGAACTCATTATTCTCCACTCGCCAAGTTCAGTGGAGTTCAGCAGCCAGAAACAAGTAGCTGAGAGCTTAGTGAAGGAGATATTTTCAGTCTGCCTGGGATTCACAGTGACAAAGGTACAGTGCACTGTATTGTTGCAAAGGGTGCTGTAGAGTGAGAAGCTTCATCGCTTGTGGTAGTTATAATGGGCATGACAGAAACATCTTACATAGATATCTGATTGGAAACACAATACATGTATAATACTCTTGCATTAACGGGTGACCCAAGGCACTTGAAAACTTTACAGTCATGTTGTCTGCAGCATTCACACTGACAGCAGCAGGAGTGCATTTGTAAAGACAAAACCCAAAGCCTGATCTTAGAAAATTGTTAGATATTTTCATAGAGTGATTATAGATAGGTTTGGATTGGTAATTAGATTTATTGGACACTTTTACATGACTACACTTTACAGATCACTGCCTCACAAAGACTTGTGTTTTCAGTCATGGTCTTCATTGCGCTGCTTGGTAATGTCTTCCAGCAGTGGACATCCCTCTGCTTCCAGGCTCCTGTCCTCGCAGGCTGGTAGCCATCTCACACCAAGCTCCTACTCTTCCAACTGCCTTCTCAAGACTGTCTCATAATGGCAGTTGGTCCTTGTTATATAGCCCTGGAACGGACTGCATAGGAAACATTTCTTCCATTATTGCATGTTCTCTCATTGCTGGGAAAAGAAGTACATATGCACATAGCTGTTTCCTAGCAATAGCTGTTGTACTTTTCACTGGGTGCATCCTGTTGTGTTATTGTGTTTCCTAGTAAAGAATTGTAGCAGTTGTACTGTTGCCTGTTTACACAGCTGTTAACTTGGCAATGGGTCTGCATGTCACAATATTATTGTATTTTAATATCAAAACCAGAAGCCTTACCTTTTCAGAGTGGAATGAAAGGCCTTTGTAGTAATGACACAGCCAGAAGCCTAACCTTGTGCACCTGTTGTCAGAAAAAAAAGTTAAGGTAAGGATTTGGGCCTTGTTCCTACAAATAAACCTGTAAGGCTGGCAGCACTAATATGGCAGAGAGCATGGCAGTAACTTTTTAAGTTTTGTAGGTCACCTGCCAGTACATAAGTACTGAAAAAAGATTTGAAGATAGAGGATAATACTAAATGGATCTTAGGAAAATATATTGTGAGGATGTGAGCTGCATAGTAGATGCCCAGACGTGTCTGATGGCAATCTTTGGTACTTGCCATATTGAGCCTTCAAGAAAGTGTGTGTCTTATATATTCCATCCATATTGTAATATGCACGATGACTGATCATTTCTTGATGTCTTCCCAGAAAGTCAAAACACCCAAAGCATATCCCAAAGTAAATTTTAAACAAAAAAGAAATTGGCAGCATTGCTCTAATTAGTTGCATCAACCAATGCTAATATTACAAGGGCTGTTCAGATAGTAACCTCCAGTGAGCTGTTAACAAAACAATCACTGAGAAACATAATTTGATTATATACAAAAAATATGTATGTACTTAAGCCTCTTCTCATTGTAGTCACTACCGGGATTGAGGCACATGTTCTACTGTGGAATAAGGTTTTGTATGCATGTGTCATGAAAGTCTGCTGCCTTTGAGCTCAGCCATGTTTTCACACCTACCATCAGCTCCTCATTATTGTTATTTTCAGTGGGCCTGTTGAGTCATTGGCCACACTCTTGGTCAGTGCACACATAAATGTGTGTGCCTCGTCCCAGCATGAAGGATCTGAAGTGTGGCAGTTCTCCTTCCAGCAGCCCACAGAACACCCAACCCAGTTCTTCAGGGATTAATTTTGTTGATCCTCTGTCAGCTTATCTTCAGGATAGTTCTATCTTGATGTTGGTCAGGAACTTGTAGGTCCCTGATCCCTTAGAGTACCTGGGCCTTTTCAAAGCTCTGACTCTTCCTGTATAGGTACTACCCGCAGACTTTGGCCTCATGGAAATCAGGTTTCTCCCACCTTAGGCTTACCCAGGCTCCCCACTTCCTGCCTGGCTTGCCGTTGCTTTTTCCAGCTTCCACCTAGCACGTCCAGACAATTTTGTTTTCACTAGGTGGAGTCTGCCAACTTCTGAGGTGTGTCTCAAAACTTCTCATGTGCAGGTGTGCTAGAACTGCTAGCTTCCTGCAGAGGTACGCCAGAACTGCTGGCTCCTGATATAGAGGTCCTTGATATAACTGCAAGCAGGTGTCTCACTCCTGTTTCATCCCTGCCCTTGGCTGAAAACTCAACCGCAGATTCATGGTTTGCACCAGTAAGCCATGGTGGTGCACCAGAGCTCCCAGTCCCTTGCCGAAGGGTTTCAAGCTGTAGGGATCTCCCCACAAGGGAGTCCCTGTTTGATTTACAGTTTTTAGTACCAGTTTATAGCCTAATTTCATTATTTTAAAGAAATTAAAGTAGGCCTTTGNGGCAATGGCTTGGCAAACACATTCCTGTGGCAGTGTATACATGCAACAGTAGAAGAACTGTTGGACCCAGTGTTTTATATGGAGTCCATGTCATATCAGTTGCTCAATATGTAGTGAAATGAAAGTAGGGGATTACTCCTTCCCAGATCTTTTTGTTTCCTATTGGTATGCTACAGGTGTTGTCTGGTGCCCTGAGGGGATTGTTCATGGCACTGACTTATTTCCACCCCAGTACCACGTAGGCCTTGGCCGAGTACCTCACATCTTATCTTAGGTTGATCATTGCCCTGTTTATCATAATTTCGGATATCTCCCCTCAAGGCAACATTGTTGCCAGGTTTAGCTTTTGGAAGGGTTCTCCAAGTATATTTGTACCAGAATTGGGAGATGGATGAAAAGAATTGTTGCCAAGAATGATAAACCTGAATGTTATCTGGCTTGAATATATAGAAATGGTGGGATGCTGTTATTGTGTAAAGCACTGTTGGACGAAGACATGGAGAGTCATTCATTGACTGAGCTACATTAGCTGTTGCTGAAGTGGCATTTACATGCAGCCCCGATTGTATCCAAACACGCAAAATGTAGGAGATCTGTTAAGTTGTATGTTCAGTTGTTAGTGGAAGGCTGGGCTTTGGCTTCATACTCTGGACCCTCAGGTTTAATCCTGGGTGATTTCATGTGAAGTTTGTGATGGAAGAAGCAGCAATGAAGTGTTTTTTCTCAAAGTTTTTGTCAGTTTCCCCTGTTAATCATTATTCTACCTTGCTCCATACTTGTTTTTCACCATCCCTTATGGTGTGTGGTAGCCCTGACCAGGCAGCACATTGTCATGTCCTTGGTTGTTAAAACTTTGCAGACCGGCAATTTAAATATTTAAATCACCCTGGGGACCGGCATTTTTAAACCTACTACCCTAACTTGTGCACTGTTCATTTTAAAAATTAATATAAAATCTCCTAATTAATTTTATGAGCTAAAATTTTTGGAGAACATTTACCATTGCTCCTAGAAGTGCTTGAGAGTGTGATATTTCTGGAAACATTCCCCTTTGTGCAGTGGCATTACACAGAACTTGCACATGTAGACAGTCATACTCTTTTTGTTGCGTACTGTGCAAACACGGCATCGCCTAGAAGGCTGCTTCCCCTTGGCATGTTCACTCTTCACAATTTTCACGAGGGTATGTTTCTGTGTATCACCCGAGAGTCGCCCAGGGGGCTCAAAATGAGGCCTGCGTGGGGTGGGAGTAGACGGTCCCGGTCGTACTGAGACTGTCTGCCGCTGGTTCTGCCGCCACTGTGTGGTCTGTAGCCCAGGCTTTTGCCACATTCAGCAGAAATGCCTTGTATTTCAATTTTGAATAAGGGTTTTTTGACAACCAAAAATGAATTGAAAATGGCACAATCTGTTGACCAATACTCTTTCAGATTATCCTTCCTTGTAAGATAATTGCAAAAAATTTTCTCATTTCTGCTGAAGTGACATCCACCCACTTCAGCGCCTTATAACTTCTGTCATAATGTTTACGGTGTTGGAGATAGTATCTGTTAGTTTCCTGACATAGCATGTCAAAGAAACTATCTCCAAAAAACAGTTCCGCTACTTCAGACACTTGTGTTGGGTCCGATGGAATTTGCTTCACCCCTGGATTTCCAGTAAACTGTCCCAAAGCAGGCATTTTGTCTACTTTTCCCCATGTGGCTCTCCTCGCAATGTTGCTACCCACACTTTTGTCAGAGCTACTGTCACTTTCACTTTCACTGTCTGTGGCCACAATTTTTTGTTCGCCCCTGCCACACTCACTATCAGATAGTGAGTCGCTATCACTTGCAGACTCACAAGGGATGTCAAATAGCTCATTGAAAAACAAGTCAGATATTTCTTGTTCTCCGAGAAAACACTTGGACCTCAACCTCTTCCGACCTTGATCCATTTTGCACTAGTAACTTCCTGCCAGGTGCATGCAGCTAGAAGATGAACAAAGGCATTTTCTTTTGGAGTGAGAAAGGAAAACAGTGGGGTCATGTTACTGACTACGAAGCAAACATTCAAGAGGTCTGTCATGCACCAGTCATGCGTCTGCCTGGCACCAGTGCAAGGTATAGTGTGTTTCAACATAACGTGTACTTAAGTCATAATAGTATGCCACCAGTCCTCCACATTTAAAAGCGCTGGGCATAAAAATATGCCACCGGTCCGCAAAGTGTTAAGCTGGATTTATATCTCTGACCTAGCGGCCTCCATAGTCTAGATGTAATGTTCCCACCTCATGACTCGTACGCGGGTCCAAATACCCGGCGGAGGTCGTCGAATTTTTAAGGGCGGAAGAATTCAGGGAACAAGTCCTCTGGGAGGGACTTTAAGCTGTGGGTCCCATGTCATAGCTTTATGGCACGTAAAAGAACCTCATATCTCCAAAGGAGGTCACTGAGCCAAATTAACGGACGTTTCCCGCCCAACAGCAGTCTCTAATACCTCTGGTAGATGGGGGAAGCATTATAGATACCTCTCAGCTAGTAGAGCCGGTCTCGCTGGCTGGGCGGGACTGATGGTAAGCACCAGTACCGGTAGGATATAGAGACTGGTAGAAATCATAGAGGGAAGCACAATGGACCAATACAGGTCTCAGTGCATGGGGAAACCCACCCTCTCCAATAACTAACTAACTATATCTC